ATGAGTTGTTTAGCCCCTGTAAGGTGGGAAATGGCGATGAAATAACCTCTTCTCCTTCATAAAATGTAAAGTAGAATCAGCAATATTAGTGGTCCTGACCTGGTGTCACAGTTTTGTAATATTAACTGTTTACGATTTTTTTTATTTTTTTTTTTTATTACACTATGTTGCTCAAATCCATCAGAGAGAATGGAAATTATATTTGTAAATAACATTAATTTACTGCACCTACCTTGTTACCTTCAGATGTGTATGTAATTATTTTGAATAAAACAAACAACCAAAGAAAATGAAATGTAAAGGAAAAGGGAAATAAAAAAAATGGGAAAGAAAAAAAGAAAGAAAGAAAGAAAGAAAGAAGTAAAGGCAGAATGACAGAAAGAAACACCCAAAGAAAATGAAATGTAAAAAGAAAAGGGTTATACATATGTATATATATACATACACACACACACACACACACACACACATATATATATATATATATATATATATATATATATATATATATATATATATATATATATATATATATATATATATATATATATATATATATATATATATATATATGTCGGATTAGCAGTAGGATTTCGCGTTCTTAGTGTTTATTTTATTTCATATATTTAATTATATATATATATATATATATATATATATATATTTAATTTGAATTGAACGTCGAACAGTCTAATAATAATTTTCTTTCGATATTAAAGTTTCAATTTAATTCTATTTCATACTGTACGCTAATGTTGACGGATTGTTCAAACACAAAAGAATTGTGGCAAACTTGGATCTTCGTGTCCGCTAACAAACGGAGTGTCTAAACGAGAGTTTTTTTTTCCATTGACACCGCTATTATTTCAACAAGCTTCACTTCTCGACAATGTTTATTGTCATAAAAGCCGACAAGACAGTAATGTGCTTAAATTAATAAAATCTAGGTACCACGGCGAAGAACTCCCCGAACAATTACCATGAAAGTATTTATAGAAAAGCTACAGGGAAGCTGAATTACGGTTGTAATAAAGTGAAGGAAACCAAGACGGTAGATCAGGACCAATAATATTGCTGATTCTCCTTTGGATTTTATCAAGAATTTCTAAATATACAGAACCGGACCAAATGTAGAAGTAATACTCGAAACATGGACGAATGTTAGACTTATAAATATACAAGAGATTCTGTAGAGAAAAATTGTCTAGGACGACACAATAACCTGACATTTTTAGCAGCAGACCTAGCAATGGATTCAGTATAGCCATTCTACTTATCAGTTGTTAGACTGAGGAGACGTAAAGAGTCACTAGAATTCTCCAAGATTGTCTCTTGTACATTCTTATCTGCTCGATGCGTATCCAAATGTAAACAAATGACGTCACACATTTTGAAATGGACAAAGTCCGACAATTATTTTAAGACATTTTTTTAATAAAATAATTGTCGGACTTCGTCCATTTCATAATATGTGACGTCATGTGTGTTGTTGACAACAACTCAAATATAAGGGACTGAGAACAAGTTAACGTTAGAGTTTAAAACATAAACGATAACATTTAACTTTTTTTAAGAAGTTTTAAAAATATATTTTCCTAAAAAAATTTCTCTGTGTTATTTATTTTTTTAATTAAAATTTTAAAAACTTATATATAAGCAATGTTTTAGTCTGCATTTTTTTTTTAATTTATCGTGTTTTTATTAAAAAATATTATATCTACCATGTCAAAGTTCAGTCGTAAATTACCAGAAACGTATCAGTATGTTTACATTTAAACATAATGTTCGCTTCTATAAAGAAATTATTGTTTTAAGAAGCGGACATAAAGCAAATAATTAAAAAAAAAATTATGGAGCTGCTGAGTCCTCACTTGACAATTTTGATAATGCTCTAAAGCGGTCTTGTGGGTAAATAATTATTTCCAACACTACAACATCTTTCTCGCAGACGAAGCGTCGCAAGCCTCTCTATAGCTATTCCCGAGGCAAGTGGTCTGATGGTCTAGATTCATTCGTTTTACCTGTGAAGCTAAGACCCACTATATCATGTACAGTGGGATGAATATTCCCCCTTCCCCTCGTATTCGATTAGTAAGAAGGAATTTCCACTTGGACATCTTCCCTAGAAACACTATTTTTCAAGTTTAGGGTTAATAACTCTCCTACATAAATTACTTCTCTTACGTTCAAACAGCATCGTTCAGTTACCATTTACAGTAAACCTTTGGGCCCTGTATTCAGTCAGTCATATTGCCATGCGTGATACATGCTTAGGCGATCATGTATCGAAAGATACATGACTGACGAGGCAGATTTTTTTTCCCCTAGTAGGTTGCCATTTCTTTCTGCGGTAGACCAGTTGCCATCCAAATGCTATAGGACCCGGGCTGTCCTGCTATTTACCCATAACTGGGGCGGGGGGTAGAAGAAGAGGATTCATACTTTTCCCAAGGGTATTAGCACGTAAGTAAATGTAATGGATTTGATTGGAATTCAAACTCGGGTAAACAGTAGTAAAACAAACATTCTAGAATTTTAGGCACGGCAACTTTATTTCTTGCAGCGGTTGTAATTTCACATTTCAGCAAATTAGTCAAGCGGAACCGAAAAAAAAAATATGACTATCTTAAATAAATAAATAAAAATAAACTTTATAATTGAATTTTCCTCAAACGTTACTAAATGATTTAAATAGGTTGACAAAATTGTAAGTTTCCTGAATTAGTTTTTGTTATTATAAACAGAAACATTATTTTGAATCCTTTAAGAAATATTATAGAATTATTTAGACATACCTAATTTTGGTCAGCGTCTAAGTTGGTTCACTGTTCCGTGCGAGACAATTTTTATCTCCAGAATCTATCACACATCTACCATTCGTTCATGATTAGAATATTGCTGCCACATATGGTCCGATGATATTCACCTTGCGTTGCTTGATAAAATCCAAACAATCAGCAATAGTATCGATCCTGATCTTCCCGTTCGGCTTCAGCCATTTTCTCAACGCCGTTAGGTTGCCTCTCTGTGTCTTTTCTATAAACCGTTTCATGGTAATTGTTCAGATGAGCTGTTCGCTATGGTACTTTTTTTTTTTAAATTTAAGCGCAGTTTTAGACTGGCGTCGTGATCTCAACAATTTACAGTAGATGAGTAGATGTAACCGTAAATATTATGTTAACAGTTTCATTTCTCGCACTTCTCGCTTGTGGAACTCCCTTTCAGCTCCTTTCTTTCCAATCAACTTTAATCTCTAAAAATATAAATGAATTAAAATTTTTCAGTTAAATGAATGAAAAAAGAAAGAAAAAAGAATAAAAAGAGAAAGAAAAAAGATTTTAATAAAATAAATAACGTAGAAGAAAAATACTTCAATAACAAAAAAATAATGTCTGTCTGTAACTGTGATAGGGTTTGTAACTATTTATACTATTTACATCGTCCATTCTTCGTCTTAATATCCTAAGTATGCCAAGTATAGACATGAATACAATATGGGAACCAGTAATACAGAGCTAGAGAAAAGCAACAATAATAGAGATTGTAATATGAGCTCTGGTAAAATAAGTTGTTACTGAGACATTAGGTTTATAAGTTCAAAGAATTAGCCCACTCCCAAAGACACATGGCCCAGTGGATAAAAGAGTTGGTTGAGTAATTCAAAAAAGGTCTTCACCCAAGGAGTTGTGAGTTCAGTACGCGGCATGCAGAGTTGACTTTACTAACGGGAATTAGTTGATACTGAGATATCCATAAGATGCATGGCACGTGGAACTAGAAAAATCTACTCCCGTGAACTGAATAAAGGGTTCGGATTGAATATCACCTGAAGAAAGTTGGTTCCGAAACGTCGTGAATATGGCAATAAAGATGAGGACAACAGTCTGAACGATGTAAAGTGTAAAAAGAAAAAATTAAGCTGTTCGTGAATTAATAAAACCAAAATAAAAAATACGCAATTATTATTATTATTATTATTCTCCTCCTCCTCCTCCTCCTTCTTCTTCTTCTTCTTCTTCTTCTTCTTCTTCTTCTTCTTCTTCATCAAATTTTCCAAGTCCTTTTTCTGCATTGTGTGTACTAGAAATTTCAACTACCGCTTTTATGAATTTTTATTATTAATAAAATACATTAAGCTGAATCGTATTGCAATTTGTCTCTGTCCATAGGACGGATATTCTGCTCATTCACCGGAAGCTACAAGAATGGTTTTGACGCGGTATCGGAAGCGACTGAATGGCTAGATTAGGCAAACTTCTTTCATGTTAGCCATCCCATTCCATCCTCAGATGCTGCGTTAAAAATAGACTCATCAGTGGAATATCGAAGTAACCTGGGTGCTTCGCTACAATGCGCGTAATATGGTGGGTCCTACCCGTGAAGGCTAGAATTGATGGAACTAAGGAATGTGGTTCTTCTGAGCAGTTTCTATTGAAGTAGCGATAGAACAATGAGGGGCTTGTGAGGGAAGGCTTGCAAGGTAGGAAAAAATCTGTCACCCACAAGGATGCGGAGACACTTTTGGGCTTTACAGAGACTGGAAAGAGAAGACTGGGTAGATCCTACGCATATATGATAGCAATTACCCAATTTTAGTCCTGATCTGGCTCTCGTGAAGGTAGAGGGTGGCACAAGGAGTGCGGGTACTTATTGGAACGGTTCAGGGAACTAAACATTTTTCCTTCATCATTAGAACAGATCGTATGTATTAGTTCCACTTGAGGTCTGGTTGGGTTTAACGCCCAATCGTCAATCAAGACGGGGCGCTTCCCCGAGGGAACATCCATTCATCGTGACTGCGCTTCAGGGTTCGATAGGCGATGAAGAAATGTGTCTAGTTTGAATTTTGAGAGACATTGAATGAAACCAACTATTTTTTTTTTCGCCACCGAGATGTTAGAGCTATACCTGGGGAGAGATCAGCTGCCAATCTCTGGTCAGCGGGAGTTTGGGAGGTGTGCCCATATACCGTTGTATCATCAGCATAGATATTCACAAATGAAACCGGAATAGAGTTCCACAAGTGAGAATTGCGAATTCTATCTATCTATCTATCTATCTATCTATCTATCTATCTATCTATCTATCTATTACCGTATTCTATATCTATCTATCTATCTATCTATCTATCTATCTATCTATCTATCTATCTCTTACCGTATTCTATATCTATCTATCTTGTCGTATTCTTTATCTATCTATCTATCTCTCTATCTATCTTAAAGTATTCTATATCTATCTATCTATCTCTCTATCTATCTTAAAGTATTCTATATCTATCTATCTATCTATCTATCTATCTATCTTAAAGTATTCTATATCTATCTATCTATCTATCTATCTATCTATCTATCTTAAAGTATTCTATATCTATCTATCTATCTATCTATCTATCTATCTATCTATCTATCTATCTATCTTAAAGTATTCTATATCTATATATCTTAAAGTATTCTATATCTATCTATCTATCTATCTATCTATCTATCTATCTATCTATAACAAATTAGAATCTTATTTGCTGATGCCGAAAAAATATACTTCTCCGTTTAAATGAAGAGTGATATTATTTCTGATGATTCTTCACGTTTAGAATCTGGACACGAGATTCAACAACTGGATTCTTAATTTCCAAGAGAGAAATTTGCCTTTTCTTAAGTGTTTATGTTTAAGCCAACTGATTTTTTTTTTATTTTTCAGTGTTGTAAATTGGAAGATACATATTGCAGACTTGTGGGTGTTTATTAAATTGCATTTTTACAGTCTGAACATTCATCGTTACGGTTGACAGTTTGTCACGTTGGTCTTATTAAATATCTCGCCTAAAATAAATTAAAAGTTATTTCTGTCACAGCGAATACTTTTTTTTTTTCGATTTTCTACAGATATTTAGTTCCCCACAGTTATTTTTTAACTCGATTTAGCGGAAATAGTTCTTCCTTAACTCACTTTCGTAAACTGAAGACGGACATTAATCCCAATTTCGCCATTTTCTATTTAAAGTTATGTATTTACTTACAATTAAATATATTTGCGGAAGTATTATTTATTTTTCTTATATTAGCCTGAGTCATAAATAAACTCCGTTTATTAAAAAAAAACAAAAAAACTATATATATAAATAAATAAATAAATAAATAAATAGATATAAAAAAAAAATAAATAAACGACAATTATATTTGTTTCAATTACCTATCCATCCTTATTTGTAATGACTCCTTGTCATTTATCAAGAAACTGTTTGGGTAAAAATTTTCCGCTGGCTTACCCAAGAAAAGGTTTTTAGACAAACTCTTCAATCTAGTTTTTATTCATTAGAGAAAGTTTTCGTATCAAAGCGTTTTGTAGCGATCGGGAAAGATAATCAGTTGGTGAATATGGCGGAAGCGGGCAGAACAAACCAACAGAGTTCAGGTTTTTTTTTATTTTTTATTTTTTTGTCGGGGGGGGGGTGCTATTTTTAATGTATGTGACTTTGCTTTATTACGGAGGACAATATTCGGCTTCAATCACTTTCCTAACTCCCTGCGTCTATTCTTTGAATATTTTCTTATCTATTCTCCTGGTGATCTCTCTTCTTTAGTATCTGAACTTCATAAATTTAAGTGTAGCACTAAATTATCACCCCATCATTTTCCTGTTGAAATTGCTAAGTGCAACCATAAATTCTACTGGACACTTTACTTTTGCACCCCCACCGAAATTGTCTTCCAGTTTCTTGCTTTCCTGTCAACTACGATCAACTTTCAGTAACCCCCTTCCGTCTTAGTGGCTTTATCTCGTTGCTTAGGGTGAAATGATTTGAGAAAATCCACTGTATACGCTGACTTTGAAGTTAAAAAAAAAAATGAAGGCATGTTTTTAGTTCAATCGAAATTTATTTTTAACTGCCACGTATGATTAAGTGTTAGATCTATCTATCTATCTATCTATCTATCTATCTATCTATTCGTCATTACAATTAGTTTCACAAAACGGAAATTACTTTTGACTCAACCTAATAGTTTTATTTTATAAGTGAAAAGCTATAAAAATGACAAAAAAACCATCTAAGAGAAAATTAATCCTAAAAAGCTACTGAATTCGACAGAATTTGCTTCTCCTTGGAATTTTAACTTTATAGTAGAATGTTTTTGGTCGTTAAATAAAATCCAACTACATTTTCAATTTAAAGATAGCTTTACTTGTAGTTCTACTAATCCCTAATCAGCGGGAGTCTTGTGTTAATAATTTCTGGACATGCACTTGAGTTTAAAATAGACAGGATGGCTGCAATAAAATGGTGACTGGACGTCTTTGTCGTAACTTAAAAGAAAAAAAAAATTTAGTAATCAAGCGCTTTTTCCTAAAATGCACGCTGCCGAAATTAAAGCTTGGGAGGACATTTTCTGAATATTTAATAGAATAGGTAGTTGGAATAATAATTTCGTGTGCAAATTTTTCTCCAAAAAAGAATAATCATCCTGGTCCGTCTGTTTGAAAATGAAAGGTATATGGTTAAAATTTGATGGTAAGATATTAGCTAGATGAATATACGATTGTAACTGATGTCTTCCCATGATGAAGGAGATATTTCTGGATGGTATATGTGGGAGGTATTTTTGCTACATCCTGTATATTAAAAATACGTAAACTTGTTTTTATAAAATAAAAGTGTCATTATTTTATGCAGCATTTAACGATCTTTTCCTTTCTATTTGTGCTTTTTGGGTTGGTGTCTACACTTAGTTAAGCTGCGTCGTGACTCGTCATTACGTGCAACTGACACTATAAATAATCTTTTGCAATCCGAAATATATTTCGACCGTAAACAACTCACAAGGGTTTAATAAACCTTAAAGACACAAATCAACAAATCACTTTCTATAATGTTAGGATTTTCTTTTCTTTTTTTGTATCAAATAAGCAAAGTAAATTTACAGAAATCGGACCATTACTATCGGAGCAAGGATGAGTGCAGAAACGCCACACCATTATTCATTTGACTACTGGACAGATAATCGCTGTTTGTCGATATTTCTGAGATGAGCTATTATGTAAACTATTTAAATTCTTCGAAATATCATCCTCATCTTTGTTGCCATCAAGGACACATGACACAGTGGATAAAGGCGTTAGTTAGATCCAGTGACAGGACCCAAAGAGTGTGAGTTCAATACCTGGTTAAGGCGGTGGAGAACTTGGAGAGGGGAATTAACAGGAGATAACAGATAACTGACATCCCTTAGACATGGCACATGGAACTAGAACAGTCTACCCCAGCGAGCGAAATAAAGAGTTCAGTTCGACATTCCAACCATCTGAAGAAGGCTGGAGCGTGCATCAGCCGAAACGTTGTGATAAATATAGCAACAAAGATGAGGATGATAGCCCGAACAATATAAATAGTGTAGGCAATCTCAGTATTCCTCAAGAGCATTTTAATGGCATAGCGCTAACGAAAACATCGCTACAATCTGCTATTTTTGCTGCGTTCCTCTAAAAGATACACACCAAAACTGAAATCGGATTATAATATTAATGATGGTTTTTCATATTTTCAGCGTTCATGGTTTGTATTAATATTCAGTCAAAATATCCCACGCAATATGTAACACTTCACAAATATCTGAATGAGTCAGAGGACGTTCCTTATTGATTTTAATGACAAAGGCGTTTCAATAACCTTTCGATATATCCGGTTACATCTGGTGTTGGTGTATATTGCCTAAAGGAGTGTGATATGTCCTGGAAAGGGATATATTTGTTCGAAGTAGCAAAGTGGTTGTTGACTACTTTAACCGGGTAGGACAATCTAGCAGGTAACCGTAATAGACTGGTCCTCGTCGTAGTGGTAGGCAATAGGCATAGACAATAGGCGTCTTCAACAGACGTAGTCCATGTACCTCCACATCAGTCTGTATTTATGACTGACACCAACCAATCATATTACTGTGATGGGGTACCCACTTGTATGCATATTCATTACATCAGAGTGTTTTCCCAGACTGGAACCATTCGGCTCCCAGGATAGTACTTTCAATTCTAAGGGGGTTCACTTTAACCAGGGAAGGAAATAGGGAAACTTTTCAACCAGTCAGTCAGTTATGTGCCATGTGTAATATGCTTAGGCGATCATGTATCTTTCGAGGCAGATTCTTTACTGCAGTAATTTGCCATTTCTTTCTGCGGTAGACCAGTTGCCATCCAAGACTATAGAATTTACTATTTACCCAGCACTGGTGGGGGAGAAGAGGAGGATTCATACCTTTTCCAAGGATATTAGTACTCAAGTAAACGCAATGAATTCGACTGGAATTTTCCCGCAGTAGTTTGCTATTTTCTTTCTGCGATAGACCAGTTGCTATCCATATTATAGAACCCTATGGGTAAATAGTAAATTAACCCATAGCTGTGGGGAGAAGAAGAGGATTCAAGGGTATTAGCGCGTAAGTGAATGTAATGGATTCGACTGGAATTCGAACTCGGCTCTCCGATTTCGCAATCTATCCACTGTACCGCCTTTCAACGTTATATATATATATATATATAAACAAAGAGTATAATGTTGAATCTATTAGTGGTAAACAATTCTAAATGGTGAGTGATTAAACCGGAGATTGCAATTTCTGGGTTTGGGACTCACCCCAAGGTAGGCGCTGGAAAATTCTCGGCCTGACAAGATGGGATTCCAAAATACATTCCGATATTTGATCAATCCTCATAAAATAATTGTGCAATATCCATGTGTCATGGTCCAGGTCCTTGTACCACGGTGATGGCCCAATGTAGAACCAATGAAGAAGAACTCGAACACGGATATGGAATAACACAGATATATTACAAACAGGAATATATAGAGAGAAGTAGAAAGTGTTAGTACGAACAATCAAGTTTAGTAGGGAGAACAATGTAGTCTCGACCAGTATCACTATTCCAATGTCTTGCAGTAATTGTCTGAACGCGACTCTGTTTTGGACTGCCTCTGACTCGACTGACTGACTCCTGACGGACCTCACTCCAGAATTCAGGCTGAACAGTATTTAGTCACCCCCCCACGAGGGCATCATGTGGCACAAGGCCGGCTTAACGTGGGATCTCCGAGCCCGTGGGCTCGGCCAAAAATATGCCCTTTGAACCCGTATAAACGGGTTCAGGGTCAGTTTAGCTCCCCGAAAGAGCCTCCGTCCTTCGGCTTAGCCTCGTTCAGGTTTCCCCCCGCCCGAAGGCAGAGAGTTCAACCGATCAGCCGGTCAGCCGGTCGCTCGACTTCGGTCTGAACGGTATTGAGTCACCCCCCCCCGGACGAGGGCGTCATGTGGCACAAGGCCGTCTTAACGTGGGATCTCCGGACTGAATTCTCTGCTTCCTCTTGAGGCGCAGTATTTATTACGTATGGAATAGTCCATTATGCTATTATGGGTAAGGTCCCATAATACCATGGAAACTGCATGAAGCATATATTGTAAATTGAATGATAGCAGTTGAGATTAATATTCAATCATCACTGATTGATCCCTCCAATACTATGTCCATGAACCACACAATATAGAGGATTTGTGAATGAGATGCGTGATATGAACTTAATAGGCAGAAGTATGAATTGAAATTTATGAGGGTATAGTGGATAAAAAAAAAATAACTGACCTGAGATTTGAAGAGGTTGAGATTTAAGTGTACGGGGAAGCATCCACGCAGGAGTCTCCTCGACATAGTAGTGGTTTTGGGGAAGAAACTGTCTATGTGGAACTTCTTCTCTACAATTGGAATATGAAGAGAATGAGAGTGATTCAACTCCGTGAACGTAGCAATAGATGGGTTTTGCCTGCAAAGTCCTGAGCTGGTAGCACGAAAGGAACGGAGTTCATCTGAAGATTTGCCATGGAATTAGCTACTAAGTAGTAATAGGCATGCAACATTGTGATTGTGGGAAAAAAGGTTGTAAAGTTGACAATAACTGAAACCCTAAAAGGCTGTGTAAATTCTTCTGAACTATGTCAAGGCTGGAAAGGTAATATTGTTTCGCACCAGCCCAGATCTGGCAACAAATCTCCATATTTGATCTAATCTGACTATTTTACAGATAAAATATTTCTTATCTTTATAAACGTTATTTTAGTGGTGTAGGTCAGGGGTGAATCTTCTGCTACTGGAACAATGTAAACCAGTATAGATTCTGCTGCAAGAGAGTAGATTGGACTCTTTAACCTTGGAGGAAACCCATCTGGAGGAAGGAAAACCCTGATCATAAATCTCTGCTGCCTTGTGGGGTACCTAGTCACAGTTGAGGATTTGTAGCCCCCTGTTTTCAGCCTCGTTCAGGTAGCTCTTGCCATGCGTGCCATATGACTGACGAGGCAGATTTTCGATACATAACTGACGAGGTAGATTTTTCTCGCAGTAGGTTGCCATTTCCTTCTGCGGTAGACCAGTTGCCATCCAAGGCTATAGAATTTTTTTTTGTTTGTTAAATCTCCTTTTTCTTAAATTTCCTTACAGTTTTCTGGCAAGCGAACGTAGGAACCATTTATCACGGCACAGTCCTTCTTTCTGTTGGGTGGTGTCCCCATTCTTAAGATTAGAAGTGTTAATTATCTAAATTTCAGCATTTAAATGTTTTGCGAGACGAATTTAGGCATTTTCTGAGCTAAATATATTCATAAATTATGCAATAAGTTCCGAATCATTGCACCTTATTTTTTTTTTCTTATCCTTATTTCAATCAAGAGAATTTCAAGAATGTGGAGTCTTTATATAAATTATGGGTGTTTTTGACAGATATTTGTCAAACAGAAAATACATGCTTTCTGTTCTAATCAAAACCTTACATGAATATAAAAAAAATCAGAAAAATAAGTAAATAACATTAAAATGTAGCCTTAGAAACTGCTTTTTAACCAATTCCATATGTAAGATATATATATATAGATATATACAGTGTAACCCGGATATAAGAGAGTTGTCGGGACCAGAGAAGAAGTCTCTTATATCTGGGTTTGGTCTATTTTATATACATTAACACAGGCTCTAATTTGGGACCAGAGAAACTCTCTCTTATATCCGGGTTTCTCTTATATCCGGGTTACACTATATATATATATATATATATATATATATATATACATTTATTTAAATTAACGTTCTTTTTTATAGATACAAGTATTTAAGTAAATGTTTGTTTATAATAAACAGTATTAAATAACATTTACCGGCCTGAATGTCGAGAAATTTTCATAGAAAATATTCGTCCTTTGACAGGATTCGAACCTGCATCCTATACGGAACCGTCATGTACGCTGACGTGCCTAACCTAAAGGACGAATATTTACTATGAAAATTTTTCGGACATTCAGGCCGGTAAATGTTATTTAATACTGTTTATTATAAACAGAGCATTTACTTAAATACTTGTATCTATAAAAAAGAACGTTAAACATAAAAATGTCTTTAATTAATAAATTGTCGGACCTTGTCCATTTCTTTTATATATATATATATATATATATATATATATATATATATATATATATGTAAAAAAATGTGTACGTGTGTGTACGACGAGTACTGAAAAGTTCATGACTCAACCAAGAAGCCCAACCTATAATATTTTGGTATTTGTTCATTTAGACGATTTTTGGGAAGTGGGTCAGAGAGTATTTCAAAGACCTTCTTATATACATATAAAACAACACAGAATTTAAAAGAACTGAAATATAACTCCGAATCATCGCACTCTTTTAATTTATAATGGAGGTAAATAAGCCTGAAACCTGTCAAGGTTATAAAGATTTCCACTTTTTTCTTTATTCAGCTATATTATATATTTCTTTCTTTGTATTATCAAAATGGTTTAATCCATTTTTTTTTTTAATATAAAGTAGTTTGTTTCAATTTTCAGACTGAAAAGAAAATAAGCAGAATAGATTCCTAGAGATTACCTTCTTTTATAGAACCAGTTCCCATATATTTGGGATGCCATTATTACATACACGTCATTAAAAATGTCTCCCCTCCGCGTGTATTAATGTTTTTTTTTTTTTCATAAATTTCATTTAATCGACTAAATCTGAAAATTTCCCCTTATCAGCAATTGTGGCGTTGCCTAAGGGACTTCAGACCCACTAAATTAGGTAACTCACCGGGTCGCCCTAGACATATGATCTTCGATTCATCATTGTGTTCCACAAAGTAGCGATGCTCCGGAAGAACTTCTCTGGGTGAAACTTTTTTCTTACCAATGAAATACAAAGGGAATGACGGTGACGATGATTCTGCCCTGTGTATGTGGCATGGGGCGGGGTATAAGCTGTAAATGTCTGAACTGGTGGAGCTAAAGATTAGAATGGATTAAGCTCCTCCTGTTGAATATCAAAGCACTATGAATTATATGGTTCATCTCTGTTATCTGAGTCTTACGTTTCTCAAATATACCTGAACATAATGAAGGGTGTGGTCAAGTAACATCAAATACTAGTTTTTTTTTTTCATATACTTTTGTCTCTTTGATAAATTCCAATTCTTTTACATGGTTTTCAACCGTCTTTTCTACTTCTGATTAATTCTACTGCAGTCGCTTTTACGTAAGTGACAGTTGCATGTATATCCCAACCTGTTATATATTTATTGTTCAGCTGTCTGATGTGTCAGTCAGATAAGTGCCCTGTGTGATACATGCTTAGGCGATCATGTATCTTTCGATACATGACTGACAAGGCAGATGTTTTTCCCGCAGTATGTTGGCATTTCTTTCTGCGGTAGACCACTTGCCATCCAGGGCTATGGAACCCGGTCTGTCCTGCTATTTACCCATAGCTGTGGGAGAAGAGGATTCATACCTTTCCCAAGGGTATTAGCATTTAAGTGAATGTAATGGATTCAACTGGAATTCGAACTCGACTCTAACGATTCCTCAATCCAGAGAGCAGAGTTCGAATTCCAGTCGAATCCATTAGTCTTACGTTTTCTCAAATATATATTGTTCTGCTGTGTACCAGTTAGAGAGAATTATTTTAGGTTGCTACTGATAATGATTCAATTTCTCCTTTCCAATATCAATGTTTTTTCTCTGCTTTGACGATCTTTTAAAACATCTTAGTCATTTTTTATTCATTTTTTCTTCTTCTTCGGTTTTTCATTTTGGAATTAATACTGACTGTTTATCGCATTTGAGACTGTATTCACTGTTACTGGAGGCGCTGATGTTCAAAACCTTCTATGTCTGTTATTCATCACCTGTATTGTAGATATCTCGATTCTGAATTCCATTTCATTGTATTCGCTAAAGATCTTGACTATTCGTGTCAGGTTCTTCAGTTATTTCTTATAGCTGCCAAGACATTTTAAAGTCATTCATAATCATTAGACGATGAACTTATTCCTCTGACTAAATTGTGGCTTCTTGCCGTTTTGTTGGTGGGGGAGAAAGTTGTAGTAATTCATTTTGTAGATTTCTTTTTTCTTCCGCTGACTTATATTCATAAATTTTCGGCCATAGCAAATACTCTTGTTCTATATTACAAACATTTTTATACTAAAGTTTAACATTACACGAGGGCCACTCAAGGTAGTGTGTTGCTATTAAAATGATCAATCAAGTGGGATATGAGTGAAAGAGGTGGTAGGAAGTGAAAATTATAAGGATGGATAACAACATACTGTCTCTTTATGTTTAGAATACGGGGGTAATGAGGGGGATTCAGCTCTGTAGAATGAATAAAGAAATATTTTGTCATTTCTGTTTTTTGGTCATGTTTTGTTCTGTTCTTTTTTCCTGTCGAATCACTTTATACGCTACCTTGTGCTACACTTGTTAGAAGCCTTAGATCCACTCTCGTGCTTCTTGCCATATCACGTTGAAAAACCAGTTACTGAACTTAAGTAGCGCTGAGCCTGGTCAATACCTAAATGGTTGACCGCTTGGGAATATCAGATGTTGTAAGCTTGGATGTCCGGGTGGTGTAATGGATAATGGCTCGGAATTGTTAATCGGAGAGCCGAGTTCCAATTACATTCTGGTTCGTTAGATGCACTTACGTGCAAATACCCTTGGGAAATATATGAATCTATCTCTTCACCCTCCAGCTATGGGTTAATTTGTAAGATTTGTAACACTAACTCATTATTATCTCCCTGCACCCCCCCAAAAAAAATATACAACATAAAAATATTTTCTGGCTTTAAATAACCTGCAATGGTTTGATAAACCGTGGAAAACGAATCATTCAATAGATCCACTCTTTCTCTCCCACCAAAAAAAAAAAAATCACTTGTTAACCATCTTGTCCTGTAGACTTTCTCAGATTAGTTACTTGCCATCTTTTTTTTCTACTTTGGTCGACAGGTGAATTCTCATTGGCCGCCAGGCCCTCTCCTGTTGGTTGTCAAACGAATAACTAAGAATTTTATTCTAATAGATTTGAACATCTTGAGGGGTTTAGTAAATTCGCATCATATCCAGAATGTTATTAGCTGTGATGTTGGCGTAGGTTAGAATAATTCTCTTACGAGATTGAGATCACTGACTTGTAAAACTCTGAACACTCATTAATTCCTCAAAGACATTTTGAGAAAGACCAAACGAAGCGAGAAAGACCAAACGAAGAGAGAAAGACCAAACGAAGCGAGAAAGAAATTGGGTGGGAACATTTTACAACTTTAAAAGTAAGGTTAAACTTAGTTAAATTTCCTGACGAATTCAGTATGACTGAAGTGGTGCATGAAATTAATCCCATTAATAAATTAGTTTACACCGACCGTAAAAAAATGACGGCCATATTAAAGTAGTTTTGAATTGCATTGGTTACATTTTCCACAAGAGTAATTTGTGTCTGTAGAATTAACACTGTTGCCACAATTAAAAATAAAGAATTCTGCTTTTTACGTTTTCTTAATCATTACCGCCCTAGCAAGGCGACAATGCCACTAAGACACAAGGTGTTACTCGGAATGAAAGAGAATGAAAAGACTTTAGTGAAGATGAATGGCCATAAAAGAACAAGATTCAGGGAATAAAAGATGGTTATTTACATTGCATTTAAATGGTTGAAGAACGTAGGTGGAGGCCAGTGGTTCTTAACCATTTTTTACCCATGTGGATCTTCATGAAAAAAGCTTATTTTCTTTTTTTTTCTTTTTTTTACATTTAAAGGCTGTTCCAATAACTTGGACTGATTTTAAATACGATTTAAGTTTAAGCGTCTAACCATTTTATTTCTTTTTCAGATTTAACAACGTGAGTCTTTGGCAATTTAAACCATGGAAAGATTAACAATCAAACAACGTGCTAAAGTTATCGAAGCCTATTACGAAAATATACGGCCCAATGATTCCGCTAGCAAAAAAATGCACACAAAACAGTGACCTTTTTGTGAATGCAGTGACTTTTCAACAATCTTCCTTGAATTTTCATCAGCTCAAATGTGACAATTCTGCTTATTAACGAATCCAACAAGATGAAAATAGACTTCATCCCTAAAGAGGATTTTTTGTGCAAAATCTTCATCGGCTTGTCTTTTGCTCATGCACCCAATTGTCGAATGTACGGTGCTCTAAATGATCTGAAGGTTGAAGTTTTTGT